GAAGGTTGTCGTTTATGTTTTTTAACTTTTTGAGCAATAAATTTTTTGCTTGCTTTTCTACACACAACAGGATATTTTACATCACCATCGCAATCTAACGCAAAAAAACGCCCAGCATTAAAGTTATGATCAAGGGCTGCTAGAAATCCTCCCATCTCCATGTGCTAATACTTGAAATGATATTGTTTTGGAATATATTTTAATAACAAATTGTTAAAAACTTCGACAGCACATAAGAACTGCCTCAGTTAAGTGTTTCATTGCTTTTTTTAAAGATTTATTTTTAACAGTCTTAACCAAATATTTAAAAGAATCTAAACTGGCGTCCAACCAGTTTCTTTCTTCTTCTTGATGTAAATAAGGTTCGTGTTCACATTTTTGGAAATATTTACAACCACTCCATTTGTGTATATTGCGTATATGGTATAGAAGAGAAAAAAATTTCTCATATATGAGTTGCGGATATTTTTTTGAGGTTTCAATGCTCCAATAAAAATGATTAATTACTGCTGGTATCCACTCATGAAGATCTTTTAGATTTGTGTTTTTAGAGGCTTTCATCATTTTTTTCCTACTTGATTTTGCTACATGCCATGGGTTTAACTGATGGTTTGTTATTAAATCTTAGATCCACTTTAAGGACTTTGCAGATTTGTGGATGACGATCTGATAACACTGATATTTAATCAGGCTTTTTTAAATTTTTTAAGTAGATGAATAAAACCCGTTTTTTCCATACAGTTGGAATTAGCAACTTCTGTCACAGGGATGACACTTGTATCCACAACGCACCCACACTCGAGTTCTAAAAATGTATATGTGCAATATTTTGCATTGTGGCCAGGGCTATTACATCTCCCATCGCTAACAAGTATAAGATTTTTTCTACTGAAAGACAACTTTATTATCTTTCGCCACTCGCTATTCCACTTTTGACGTACAACTGGTAAAATATGATTCTTTTTAATCTCGTAATATGTAACATCTGAAAACAACTTTAAGTTTGCAATATAAGCGAATCATTGAAACTTAGCAAATGGTAAGCCTGAAAATCCTATTGAGGAAGAGATAAATAAATTGCCTAAACCTTTTAACTGCCCCACTGTTGGTTGTGAACTCCATTCAAGCTTGCACTCATTAAAACAGGTAAATTTTAAACAAAGCTGCAAGCCGTTATTTTTAACTTCTTTTATCATAGATTGATCAACGAAAGCTCCGCACTTTAGACAATGTGCTAATAGCTAGTATAAAATTCTTTTTGTAAACAAACAGCAATCGATTGTTACACTTTCTTTTAATTTTTGAATCTGTAGCGTTTGTTTTGTTATCGGTATCCATTTTATCTGATGAAGTAGAAGTGTATTCTGAATCGTATTTATACGAAGTAGGGGTGTATTCTGAATCGACATCTATACGTTTATTATCAGAACCATAGTCATCAATGTATTCAATATCTCCAGATTCATGTGGGACAGGATATGATGTTTCTCATCATCGTCATCATCATAATCATCATCATAATCATCGTCAAGTAAATCATTATTGATAGCTGTTTTATCACTTTCATTAGATACATTAATATATGAATTGTGATTAAATTTTAAGGTAACATTAACTTCATTGCAATTGTTTAATGTATCTGCATCATAATCAGCTGCATCAAAATTCCAACAAATTAATAACTCTTGGGATTTTTGATCTTCAACCGTAATTAAAAAATTAATTTTTTTAATTTTAGGCAAAATTATGTTTACTTGACAACCAAAATGTTGATAACTTTTTTGCGTAGTTGTATGGTACTTGCGATTTTTTTCAAAGATTTTGCGGTTGCTGTGTTTATGTAGCAATATTGCAATTAAGCAAATTCTCCTGCTTGTCAAAATTGGTTCATCTTGTAATATTTCTTCTCTTTCCAAAATAACATAATGAAATTCAATGCACAAGCTTTGCTGCACTAAATCCGATTGAAGCTGTAAAAATTTGAGAACTTTTAATGCTATTTTTTTTAAGTTTTAGATTAATATACACAATTTTAATATAAAAACAAAGTCATCCAGGCAAAAAAAATATTATTACTTTTACCTGATTATGTTGACATGGAATATTGTTGGAATTAGGAAGGAGTTTTTTGTTCATTCTTTTGATTTTGTTAGGTATAAGAAGTTGCATCATTTTGTGAGATTTGTCAAAACATGATTCATCAAAATGCAAAGAGCAAAGTTCAAGTCGCTTAACACTATTCATTTTACCAACTGCCCTTTCTTCACGCTGCTGCAATATCAGGATTTTTTGGTACTGTATGAAATGATATATTAGGTAACTTATTATGATACTCGCTTGAGCAACCTGCAGCACTGCAGAAACGCAACATTGTTGTCAAAGAAACAAATATCTAATCATATCTAATCATTTTTTATTTTTGATGTGAATATGCTCAAAGTATAATGGAAATAAGAATATTTGATTGCATTTGTGACATAGTAAAGTATAAAAATATTCTGAAATAAACAGTTTTTTTTTGTGTGTGAAATAGCTTAGCAGTAGTGGTGTAGTGGTAGAGCGCTCACTTCATAAACAAGTGGTACCGAGTTCGATCCCCACCACGTCCCTGGTAGTACCGCGCTCAACTCGTTTCTCCGTGCAAGTAATCCGTTCATTTATTCTTTATGTTAATTTTTTTCTTGTGCCATTCATTCAACATGATAAACAAAAGTAATAACAAACGTTTTACATTAATTTTTACATTTTACCTACGTATTAATTATTTGTAGTTTTCATTGATTTGTTAGCTGTTCCTAAAAATCTAAATTTAGTTGAAAATTAAGTTTTCAAAATAGTGTTATAATAAAAATATTTTATTTTAGAGTAGGAATCAAATAAAAAATTTTAACTATCAGACTTTCAGATTTTTCCACTTTTTTTAGAAATCCAAGTCAAAGATGCTATCAAAATGTTTTTATTTATTCCTGATCTAAGCGGCTAGATTTGGATTAATTGAAAATCATTTTAATACTGCTTCTAAACAAACGCTGAAAAGTAATTCAGGGCAAAAAAGAATTTGTTTGAATAAAGTTTTTTTGTTTTTTTTTTTTTTGTTATGAGGAGGTGGGGGAGGGGGGGGGGAGGATGAGGGGGGAGAAACCTTGAAAAAAACTTAAACTGGCGATAAGAGGATTTCCTCAAATTGTTAATCTGAAGACAAATTTGGTAAACAGATAAATAAAACAAATCAGCTACTCTAACTGTGTGATGTAAATGATTTTAATGCATGGCTATAAAAATAGCCATGCATTAAAACCATGTTTTATGTGTTAAATTATTCATCGAGTTGAAACCCTCCAATATACTCCCAAGCTTCCACAATTTCATCATTGAAATTTGAGTATACTCCATTTTCTTCAGGAAAGCGTTGTCGTATTGCACAAACAACACATGCCAGGATAATTTTCCTATTATGTTCCCCAAGTTTGCTATAGGTCCACCAAGTAAACTGTCGGTAAGCGGAATATCTAAAATATCTAAAAAGAAAGAGTAAGATTTTTTATAAACTTCTAAACAATTTTTACGATATTATATTTTTCGACAAAATGCATTAAATAATTTTTTAAAACATAAAAAAGGGTATAAAAATAATTCATCGTGTATATTAATAATATACAGAGTATTTATAATAACTAAATAATAATAATACTTTATAAACAACAGAAAAATTATCTATAAACTATCTACAAAATGTCTAAATTAATGAAATATTTTTATTTTTCGCTAGACTATACTAACTTCAAAGTATAATATTCTAATTCTGTTTAAAAATTATTTTTCTCAATTCTTTTCAAGTACCTATTAGACGTTTCTTCAAATGTTGATGGCATCCAGATCCTTTTCTCTTTCAAACTTGACATCGCTACCCATAGTGGATACGGAAGAATGCATCAAGTTAGGAAACCTTTATGTTCTGTTATACAGTTCTGATCTGAAAACATAATTATTTTTACAATAAATGTTTTATTGATAGTAAAAGAATGGTTATAATTTATAAATTTAAATATATTTTTTGTACATAGTTGACATGAAATAAAATAGTAGTATAAAATGTAAAAAAAACCTGTTTCAACCATTATTTCTATAACTTCAGTGAAACACAAATACTCTTTTTGATAAGGCATTGTTGCATTTACACCAGTTTTCAACGCCAGTATAGAGGCGAATAATTTTTGTCTCTTGAATACCACGCTCAATTTGAGACAAATTATTACAATTGGAGTTTGTTTTAGTTAAATTAATATTTATCTTAATTTTGCTTTTTTCTTTGGTTCAAATAGATAAGGTTCAATAGACATTTTATTAGAAATTAAACTAAGACTTTTTTATAACCCCTTCGTACATCATGTGTACAAACGTACACAATTCTTTTTGTTCATTTTTCACTATAAAACTTAAGCAAAACAATAATTGAAACACAATGTGTACATTTGTGCACACCAGTCCTATTTTATAATTTAATAAAATTAATATTTTAATAAAACTTTACATACCCCTGAAGGAGGTCTAATACATTTGTTTTATCAGAAAAAAAAATTCTGAAACACATTTTATGTATGAAGGGGATAAGTTCTAAACTGTTTAAATCACTATTACTTAATGACTTTTTTTTAACGACGTGTTTCAACCAAACTCTATTCTACTAATTTTGCAAAACTAATGACTAAAACTTGACTTTTTAATCACTTGAAAATCGAAGTAGATATTCTAAAGTTGTTGTGATGTACAAAATGGAGTTGTTTTTCAGTAATTTCTTTTTTTTTAATGCTCTTTCATATGAGATCATATGTTAGGAACACTTAGGGATCCCTTTAAATCATAATAATTATTGAACTCTAAATTATAAATAATTATAATGTAAAAGTTTAGACACTTTTGCTGAAAAATGCATACCCTTCTTAAAAAGATACAAAATTTGAAACATATCTTAACAACATCGTATAAACAAAACCCCTTACATGTAATTCATGTTTGCATTTTTTTATAATGGTAAAATGCCCATGCAAAAATAAGAATGTTGCAATGCTGAGCACAACATCATCTTCAAGACTTTTATTAGAGCGAACCAACAACAACATCTAAAAAATAAATTATTCAAATTAGAATTAAAGGGGTGTTTTCTGCAGTTAAATTTCTGACACCAGACCAAAGGAGCAATACGACTTTGGATCGACTGATGGATATATATGACAATATGAATTATTGATAACTTAGAATTTCATAGAACAAACAAAGAATACCATTAATTTTAAAATTTTTGTTAATAGCTAAAAAGAAAATAATCTTATTAAAACAAAAAAATATTGGTAAAACGCAATTTATTATCTGCTGCAGTTTTAAAAAAATTATTTCTCTTTTAAATATAAATTTTATAAATATAAAATTTTTTTTATATTTTTATATAACTAACTTCTATAAATAATAAAATTATTTCTCTTTTAAATATAACAGTTAAAATGTTGTGTCAGAGGCACACAAAAACCAGGAGATGAGCTTGATGGAACCGTAAAAAAAAATCATAGCTCACCAATCCTGGTACAAACAACCTTTATCAGTTTTCTTAGAGGAAGGTGTTCTATTTCATTTACATCTTTTGAAATTTATTTTATCTTGATAGTCTGGTCGCTACATGTAAAAAAAAAAAGGTAAACTAAACATTTTGAGTGGACATTCTAATTTTTATATAGACTTGTTCCATATAACTTAAGAAGTTTAAAAATTTTTACATGCCACTTGGAAAGTGCTTATAACTTAAGTTAGGGACAAAAATTGATGCAGCTTATTGAAAAGATTTTAAGTATTATATATCCGCCATGTTGTTTATAAATCCAATACCGCAAAGCATTGATTTAGTTTTAACAAATTATTGATAGGGGGTTAATTGTTTGTAAAATTAGATGTTTTAAATATAATTACTTAAATTTATGTAACCAAAATTTCATAAACCTTATTTAGAAAAAAATTTGTTTATAATTTTTTTTTTAATATTGTATTAAAAATGTGAAATAATTTTAATTTAATAAATCTAAAAAATAAACAATGTTCCTGTTTTTTGTTTAAAAATGTTTACTTTTCAAAAACTGTTTACTTTTTTTTATGTTACCAAAGTTCTTTTTAAAGTAAAGAATTACCGTCATAAATAAAAGAAAAAAAGCAAAGTCATTTTTATAAATAAAACAAAATGTTTGCATAACAAACTGCAATCATTTTAAAAGAAACGGTTGTTGCAAAAATATAAAACATAAAACTAAAAAAATGTGTTTTTATTTTTATTTATTTATTATAATTAATCTAAATAATGGCGAGTAGCCAAAAAAAAGCAGTATTTTATTCTGGGTCCTAAAAAAAAATTAAAAATGCTTGTATACTTCATCAAGGTGAAGTTGGTCATAATAATAACAAACTGTGTGGTTTTACTGAAAAAGCGCTTGTGAAAGTGAAGACTTGTGCATTGTAACTTAGGGACCATACATAAAGGACGTCATCCAAATAGGGGGGGAGGGGGTTGAGTTAAAAAGGACAAAAAAGGACAAGGGGAGGGGAGGTTGTCAGAAAAGGACGTCACTTTATAGATTTTTTATTTTAGTTTAATTAACATGGAAAACTACGTAAACATGTATTTTTGAGAAGATAATGTATGAGAACATTTTTAATTTTATTTAAAGGTGTAGCAGCAGATTCAAACATCATTGCAAGATGAAATAAATTTTTTTGGAGTTAAAAATAGGAAGGGGGGTCAGGATTTTATGACGTCCTTTTCCAGGGGGTTATAGGGAAAAAGAACAACCCGTGACAAAGGAGGGGGAGGGTCAAAAATTGGCTAAAGAATGGTGACGTCCAATATGGATGGCCCCTTACAAATCAAGCATTGTGAATTACAATGCTTGGTAAATTTGATAATAATGTTTTTTTTTACTAATGCCAAATTTGAAATGACTTTAAGATCATTAACATTCTACCTGATACATGCCCAACAACTTTCTTATTTTATCAAAGATGTTACGATAAGTATGTAAATATAAAAACATTTTACAACATCGGAAAAATAGAGCAGAAAAAGTCAACGAGAGTGTAGGTGTGGATAATGCATCCTCATTTAAGTGCAGAATCTCAGCTCGGAAAAAAGATAGATCAGGTAAATTAAAAAACCCTTGAGTGTGAAATGCAAAGCAAAGAATATTGCCCTCAGTTTTCACTTTTTTTTTATGTTTTAAGTACTACTTCAAAATTAAAATAATTCCTTTAATTCAGGAAAAATTATGGCGGATGAAGAGTGTTGCATTAGCTATTGCAATAAGACTAATAAATATTGGAACGGATATAAAACGCTTACACCCAATGGGCACCAGACCTAAAAAAGACGTCCAAAACATTCAAAAGACGTTCAATAGAGGTCCAAAACGAGTATAAGATGTTTAAAAATATCTTTTTTACGTCTGTGCCTACTGGGATAAATTCGTAACAGAAAGTGCAGCAAACATGTAAAAAGAAAACGCTTAATTAAAGGTGAAAACCCAGCTAGTATATTGGACAAACCATAGTTTCCTTAGAGTTATATCGATCTTGTTACCTTAACTATACAACACCCTAAAAAATTCCTTTTATTTTAACAGAAGATGCAATATTGCGTTTACTCTTCGACTATGTGAAAGAACACATATTAGACAATTTAGCGATTGTTCATACAAGTAAGCTATTTGAATTTTAGGAGGAAAACTGCACAGATAGAGCAAAGATTCTAGATAAAAGGACTTTGCAGGATGCTGTAGTTGCAGAACTTGCGGGTCTGTTCAGTTGCAGTCACCAAAATAGGGTATTCTTTCTTATGCAACAATACCATTAAGAAGGGGAAAATCGTTGAAGCTTTTTTTTAAAAGATTAAGATAACCGATTGAACAGCTTATCCATCATGTCGCGCAAGAAATTTGCAGCGAGGTTTTGTCTTTAAAAAAAAACATACTTTAAACTGCCTATATATAATGCATCTATTGGTTTCAAAATCGTTTGCATTCACACGGTTGACACAGATATTTCTATTTACGCTTTTTACTTTCATAACCAAATTCAAATAGAATTATTTGTGGATATTGGTGTCTCTACTAAAAGATGGACTATTGATATGAATCTTATTACCTCACAGTTAGGTACTGATTGTTGTAAGCTTTTCTTGCTCTTCATGCATTTAGCGGGAAGAATTATGCAAGTGCATTTTACGGGATTGGTAAGTCAAAGTTCCTCAAACTAATGAGACAGTCTGAAGAGTACAAGTCAATTTTTCCAAGGTTGGGGACTCTAATACCTTTGATGTAACCCATCTTGACCAAATCGAAAAGTTTATATGTCAATTATAAAAATCATAATGCAGTGATACAAACGAAGGACTTAAACTTGGCAATAACTTTAAGTTTATTGCCAAGAAAGAAGCTCCGGAACCTTAAAAGTTTCTGCCAACTAGGGATGCTCTTATGTGTTATTGCAAGAGAGTTTGGTATCAAACAGCAAAATTTTAGAATATCGAGATTTGCCTCTAATAATTGTCAAACAATCATTGGAGGCAAATCTCGATATTTCAAAACCCAATGGATATGGATGGCAAGAATTTGGCAATCATCTTGAGGTTAAATTGATGCTCATTAGACCTGCTCCAGAAGATGTTTTGCAGTTATTTCCTGTTTGTGTAAAAAGTCAAAATGTGAAACACGGGTTGATTGCATGGATTGACTTGAACAGAACTGTTCGTCTTGTGGAAACACAAATGATTGGGACGACACCTAAACAAAATATTCAACTGATTCGAATTTTCCCTTTTAAAAATCTGTTCACTAAATATTTTTTTTCACAAAATTTGATCAAATTATTAGCGTGACGTCATCAGCCCAAACAAGGGCCCGAATTTGACCCTTTAAGCATTAGAATTGCTAGTAAGTTTTTCAAGAGATTTTATTATTTATTATAAGGTTTTCTCAAGAGAATATCTAACATTTGACGTAAATATATATTTTTTAGTTTGATAAAAAAAAGTATACCAATGTGACGTCATCAGTACCAAATAATGCCCTAAATTTGACGGACTACCAAGTCCCGAGACATGTTGTGTTCATATTAAAGAGAATGTTAAAAAAAAATGTCTGAGCTAATTTTTCTTGATTAAAACTAATTAATAAATGTATACCAAGAAAAACAAATCTTGTTGTTTTAGTCGAAGTTCGTTTTCTCCGTTTTCTCTGGTATTTTGAGTATGTAAAATAAACGCGATTTTCCAGGCGCATTATACAGACTTGATAATTTATTCAAGCGCGTTTAATTCATGAGAGTTTTAGAGCATGACATCATAGATTTTTTGTTTGTTTGTTTAAAACACCGATTGTTATTTTTTACATACAATTTCCAAATCATACTCATTTTTATTATATTTTAAAGTTCTAAAATGTGTTTGTAAAACAAAATTAAAAACAAAATAAAATTAAAAACAAAATAAAACTAAAAACAAAAATAAAATAAAAAACAAAATACTATTTTAATTGCGCAACTTTTTTTAAATAATCGTCTAGACCACGTATATTTGATTTCTTTTGTTATAAGTTTTTCTTTCAAAATATTAAATAAAATAATTTTTAACTTAAATAATAATGCACTTTTATTAATTTACTTTGTTAATATTAAAAAAAAATTATTAAAGCATTTTTTCTCTGATTTTCAAAAATGCATTTTTTTGGTATTGAGGTGATCTTATTTCATTATTTATATTTCCATTATAACATCCAATATATATTATTGTGGGGGCTTAAAAATTAAAAAATTAATATATATTAATTTTTATTTTACAGACATACATGGAAACATAATTACTTGAATGTTCTTAAAACATCTTACGGAAGAATAAAATGAATATTTGCGAACACTAAAAACCTGCCAAATTTGCGAACAAACTAACTCTATTGGTTCAAAAAACACGCTGACAAAGCGAAATAAAGTTCTAGAGTATTCTGTTGAAATGTTTTAGGAATTGTATTATTTACGATTTGTTGCGTTTTGAGATATCTAGCATAATTTTTTTTAAGAATATATTATCAAATGAACTATTACTTTAATATTGTGGCTCATTCTCGGAGCCACATCTGTAAAGCCATAAAACTTTTAAACTATTATCATTTGTTTACAAAAATAAACGTTTTATAATATATATTTTTTAAATTGTCAAAATTTTGAAAGTTAATTACAAATCATATATTTTATTAGTATATTCTTAATTTTTATATCTTTTTTTAGTGCTTGCTTTAATTAATTGTTCGTTAGATTTGTAAAAAACTAACAAACAATTAATAAAATAAACTTTTATTAAAATAAGTAACTATAGTTAGCTATTTTAGTAAAATTTAATAGTAAAATTTTTAAAGAATTTCTAGAATGTTTCCAATGACGTCATGCTCTAAAACTCCTATGAATTAAACGCGCTTGAATAATGCGCCTGGAAAATCGCATTTATTTTACAAACTCAAAATACCAGAGAAAACGGAGAAGACGAGCTTCGACTAAAACAACAAGATTTGTTTTTCTTGGTATACATTTATTAATTAGTCTTAATCAAAAAAAATTTGCTCAGACGTTTTGTTTTAACATTCTCTTTAATATGAACACAACATGTCTTGGGACTTGGTAGTCCCTTTAGGCACTTTCAGAAAGACACGTAAGCTTTTTTCAAGATTTTGTTTTTTATTATAAAGTTTTCTCAAGAGTTCATCTAACTTTTGAGGTAAATATGATAAGTAGCGTCCAGACTATGAAGTTTATCTTTATATTTAGTAATTATTAAGATAACAAAATTTTAAATTAAAAATAAAAAGTTTTTCACCTGATATACAACAAATGCTCTACACATTACAATGTTTTTTGGATTAACATTACTAAAACATAAAACAATTATTAATGCTACCAAATCATAAGACATTAAAACATTTTTATTATGTAATATTAACATAAAAAAACAACTATTTTAATAAAAATTACTCCTGTTGCTGGTCATCCAATGTACCTCTAACAAACAACTCCTGCAGCCATAAAGTATAGACAGCTACATTTGTTTTAATCTAAAAAAAAAAACATTGTAATCACCATCACCACCATCATTCACTCTCAACAAAGCTACAAGCAACCACTATTAAGTTGGGAGTCCGAGTTATCATTTGTTTGATTTTTAAATAATTGTTTCTTTATCAAGTTTTCATTTTCTCTCTTTGATCTGTTGGAAATTTTTTCAAAATGAACAACATAAACACACTTATAATGTCACATAATTTTAACATGAGAATAATTTTTATAAATGTTTCGAAAATGTGAACTTTTTTTTAATTTTGATTGCATAATTATATTTGTCTTATATTTGACATATATAATACTTGATTTATTTTTACACTATTATTTAATTATACTTTAGTATACACTCTATTTACTCCATTATTAGGGTAGGGTAAATCTGAAAGTTTTTCTATAATGAGCTGTTTTTAAGGCAAAATATGATGCTGAGTTTAAATCTAGAAGAATTTCTTGTGACAGCAACTTCAGTTAGAAATTTGCCCTTTTTTTCAAAATGGCTGCCAAAAACTGGTAAAAAATATTTTTCCGCATGTAATTCATTAATAATCGACACCAGCGATTTTCAACTTATTTTAAAAAGATTAATTACTTCAAGCGGGACTCAACCAAACCTTAATTAGAACAAAGAGAGTACCTTATGAAGCGGGAGTACCTTAATTAGAACAAAAAACTATAATGTGTAAACTTTGAAAGTTGCAATTCTTTTCACTTATATCTTATTTTAATTTTAATTTTTTGCATTTAATTTATTATGAAACATAAACTATAGTGTGTTATAATTAATGAACTTTAAAAATGAGTGTTGGTGTAAAACATTTTCCAGCATATTTATATGTGTAATGAAACATATTTATAAATTTTTTGACATGTTTAGGTCCTGTAAAATGGGTAGTTTTACATAAAAGCCAAATAATTAGATATTGGAAATGGGCATGGATTTCCTGCCAAGTTGAATTCAGGAAGCTAGAAGTTGATCTCTTAGCTACAGTAAAAACAGGCTCGCCAACTAGCGGTGATTAAACATCAAAAAATTAAGATAAAAAAACATGGAAAAACTTTGAGCTTCTCAAACAACATTGATACATAACTCAGTTCAGACCTGTAAAAAATGATGACATGTAAGTATTTGTTCATGTAATTGATGATATTGATAACTAAAGTGGTCCAAGTTTAAAATTTTTAAACAGCTTGCAGAATTCTTAGTTCATTCAGTTGATTTGTGAGTCAAGTTACAAATCGCTGATCGATTTTATTGGCGCCTTGTCATTTTTTAACAGTAAAAAATCCAGATTATATTGGGGTTGTGATACTTTATATGCATGACTGCAAAATTGAATTTAGCAACCTCGAAATCTTATAATAAGAGATATTGGAGACCATGGTTTTTCAGCTTCAGTACTTGTATGAGGCAATGGCTATTTTTGACCCCCATCTTGAAAAAATGAACTTTTCTATTATGTATATAGTATTTTACTCCATTGTATACTATATATACAATAAAGTAAACAAAATTTAATTCTTTTATCTAAAAAAGTAAATATATAAGTGTATATAACATAAATTGTATGTATGCAATGGATATAAAATATATATATTTTATATAATGTCATACATATAAATTATTTTACAAAACATCAATTTAGTTAAAAAAATTAAAGGTTTTTCTAACCTTACAAGCTAATTCTTCAATTGTTTTTGTTTGAGTCATAGAATCAAATAAAAAATGCCCTTTGCTAAAAAGCAATATAAAGATTATAAATTATATATATTTGAACAAATAGAGACTAGAATTAACATAATTAGCCTGATCTAAAATTATGCTAATTTAAAACCAACATGTTGTTAATATGTTTATTTAAAACTCCTGTGATTAAGTGTAAATAATTGAGGTAATTAATCTTGTTCTAGTAACTTAAATATTTTAAACTAAATAATTTAACCTCACAAAGTAAATAAACTTACCTCACAAAGTAAATAAACTTACCTCACAAACTAAATAAACTTACCTCACAAAGTAAATAAACTTACCTCACAAAGTAAATAAACTTACCTCACAAAGTAAATAAACTTACCTCACAAGGGCCTTTATAATACATGGTATTACTTCTTCATTTGGATTTTTCATTATTTGTACTTGAAGTTTCTGTAGCTAAAAATAAATTTAAAATATAAGCTATAATTATGTTCAAAATACAAAACAGACATATGCTGGTGTTTTTATGCATCAGTATACAAGATGCATAAAAACACCAGCATAAAAAAAAAAAGATTTTATGGTAGTCTAATTTAGGTAGTCTAAAAAATTTAATTTCCTTTTTCATTTTAAGTTATATGATTAATATAAGCCATTCAATAATATATATGGCATACTCTACATTTAACCCTCACAACAACTTGATCAAAAACTCTCTTGTTGAAATTATTTACATTAATTACATTTTCAGCAATTTTGTTTGAAAGCTGTTAGTCTAAAGAATAAAATAAGATAAATTTTTTTGATTCTGATAATTATAAAGCAAACTTACGACTAAAAATGCCATTTAACTTACTTTACACAGGAAATCTGAATAAAATTGCTTCAACTTTTAGCAAAACAGTATTGTGAATCATATTAAAAATTTTACAGGATGTTGTGAATTGCTAATACAAAAACAGGTTTTTAGAAAGAGGTGAACGACTAAGGAAAATAAATAGGTTATCTTGATACCATACACTTTACTTATGTTACATCACTAAAGTTATCATGCAATTATTAAGGAAGATCTCCTCCAAAATGAGCTCATATCTCTGCAACAAAAAAATACAGTTGAGCTGATAATTTACAGAAAATCAGTTGATTGCTTGTGGCAAATGAAAAAGTTTCAGGTTATTAGTAAGTTCAGTAAAACTATGTGTGGCCTTTGTCAATAATATATCAGATAAAGTTAGAGGGAAGGGGGAAGGGGGAGGAGATTTTTTGAAAGTCATATTTTAATGCCATGTGCTTCTCTAACTTAATAAACTTATTTTATATCTAAAAAAAGATTAATTAAGTTAGAAGTCATTTGTTGGAAAAAAACTTAATTGTGTATTTCTTTAACTTACGTTATATGAAAATTGTAAAAGTTCTTTTGGTAATTTCTGGAAATTTTTTTTATTCAAAAAATTCAACCAACAATAAATCAAAAATGCCAATAAATCAAAGATGCCAGAAGTTGAAGGGGCAATTGCTCACTCCATCCTCCTGTTCTTATGCCAGTGCCAGCTTCATATTCAGAGAATTAAATCAGATTATGCAATTAAATTCTCTGTGAAAATAATTTTTTGCATCTTGCATTTTATATCATATGACGTAAAGAAAGTACAATGATTTTCAGAACCATTAAAACGACTTAAATAAAACTTAACTATTAAAAATTTATTTTTAATAAACTTTTATGTCTCTATTTCAGTACTCGTCTGTTAAAGATTGACAAAAAAGAGATTAAAAATTGAATGCTTAGACATTTTCCACTGTGTAATTAGTCATATATAATTTTTAATATATATAATCTAAAACTCTGAACCTTAGTGTCTGGTTCTCATTCCAATATACCTAGCAAAGTAGCATTTTTTTTGTTATAATAGATAACAATCAATAGATAACATACAATAGATAACATACAGTAGATAACACACTGAAGATAACATACAGTAGATAACACACTGTAGATAACATACAGTAGATAACAGAAATATCATCATCACAACTGCAGCAAACACAGGTTCAAAACAAAATAAAAACAATGTTTTAGTAAATCATTAAAACAAACACATAGATGGTCTATTTGTCATTTTAGTTTTTATTAGTTAACTGTTAACTATTAATGAATAAAATATAAATAATAATAAACAATAAATTAGGAATAATAATTTATTAAAATAGTTTTAAAAATTTATATTTAAAACAAAATAACTATTTTTTTTATAAACTTTTAATTATATATTTGAAATCACTTATTCCAAATTTTTGTTTGTTTTTCAAAAATGTAGGCCAAAAGCATGAGTAGCATCTATTTAAAATAAAAAAATTTATTATATAAAACTATTTTATAATGCAAAATAAAATATATATTATATAAAATTATATATAAAAACATGTCTAAAGAATTATGTAACATGTTACATAAAAACAAACCAAAAGTAGCATCTGTTAAATCTTTTGTGTTAATTTTATTGGTGGCAAAAAGAACAAAAATATAGCCTATGACAGTGCTGTGGAGTTGTAAAAAAAATTACCAACTCTGAGTTCAATTGTTGAAATTTTCCAAGTAAGACTCTGATTCTGATTCCGACTCCAAAGCTAAACTGAAAGCTAAAGCTGAAAAATTCTTTGAATTCTTTGAAAAATATTACGCGGTAATTAATTAATTTTTTTTTGCCAAATATATAAAAAATTCTTTGAAGCTTAAATATTTTTTACATGCACATGCAATACCAAGAAGTTTTACTACTGGAGTCCGAGTCGTGATTTTGTTTAGCGACTCCAACTCCACTAAAAATGTTGCAGCTTCGACTACACGACTCCAACTCCAATTCCACAGCCCTGGCTTGTTAGTTTTGGTTCCAGAACAGTAATTATTTTAGCAACAAACTAATACAACTGACAGCAGTAAAAAAAGCTTTAGTTTTATACATTAAACAGTACAGAGCATAAATTATTATTAGATAAAAATCTAAGTTCCAAACATGACTTGGAAAACAATGACTTGAAAAACAATAGCATTTCATTAGCAATGTCACCCCATGTGATGTATAATAAACCTGACCTTGTGAAGTACAAACCTTGAAAGTCAAATCATGTGTATGTGATCATGAGTATGATGCTTTTATCATGCTTCATTGATCTAATAGAAATATGTGGGTACTATGTGACATCAAAAATTTATTTGGTTCATTTATGCTAGATGCATAATTTTGACATATAATAGATGTTATTTGGGTCAATTATGCTAGAAGTCAATAAATGTCTGAAAGCCACTAAAAAATCCTCATCAAGCAAACATGATTCCTTATTCAAGATAATTCATTTTAATGCAATAAAATTTTAATAATTCTTATTAACAATAATCAAAATATTCAAAGAATAAAAAAAAAAAATTATTGCTAAACAACATGACTTTAATGAAAATTTTTTTTCAATGTTAATTCACCTCCTCACAGCCGAGACGGCCACTACAATCGAGGAGGCAACTTTAATTATGGTTACAACCCTCTCTCAACTCTATAACTCCAAAACACAAACCTTGACAAACAAGGCTGCTGCATGGAGAAACAAGTTTAGTGCAGCACTACCGGGAGATGGTGGTGATCAAACTCAGAATTAAAAAACCAAAAAGCAAATTTAAAATTAACTGTTGCTTTTTTTTTGCTGTTTAAGTTTAGAATTTACTACGCTTAACTTTTTCTTAATTAAAATTTGCTTTTTTTAAGTGTATTATTTGTTAATCACCAAAAACAAACTAATGTTTTTTAAAAAAACTTTGTTTTTTAAACTATACTTTAAACTAGTAAGTGGCCTGGGTTCTAACCCGGGCCTGGCCCCAACAAAATTATAAGATTTAGCAGAAGTTGATATATAAAAATGTATAATACTAACAAAACATGTATAAAAAAAAGTAATATATATCATCATTGAAAGACCTTTTTTTTTAGGTACTTCCTTTTTCTTTGGTCCCTCTTAGACATCTGCCACTCGGGATACACTGTCCCTTATGCCGCCCCTGCCATCATCACGACTAACATTGTGTACCACTTTTCAACAATAGTAACAACTATTGTTTTTTTAATTGTGATGCAAAAAAAATATCAAATCTCATCACCACAAAAAACTTGTGGAATTGTCACTGTAAGCATTATTTAGTAGAAACATTTGTATTACTGTTCTTTCGAGTGAACAGAATATAAAATTAAAGTGCGCTTATGAAAAAAATTTAACACAAAAAATTAAATAAAAAACAGCCTCCATTCCCACAACCGATCTATTGACCATTTCCCTCCTCCCATAATTCTTACAAATTTGCACACCCCATAGACGAGACATATTTTCAGAGTTTTATACTCTTTTAAAGCAATCTTTTATATTCTCCTATATATTTTTTAATCATTAAATATACTATTTTTTAGGAATTTTTTATGTATTAAATATTGTATTAAATTATATTAATAAGTTATTTTTAACAACGCATTTTCAAAGATTTTAATGTGCTTGCATAAACAAAAAATAAATATATTTTCACTAACTTTATAGAAATTGTTTTATTTACTCTCTATAACTATTTAAACCTATTTTTAATTAAGTAGGTAAGAATAGGTTAACAAATAAGGTTTGTTAAAAACTAAGCATATAAGCGATAAGAATAAAATTAGTCTTACTTAGCATTTTAAGCACGTCATTCAAATTCTAATTGCATTGGAAATTCATTTGAATGCAAAATAAATTTGTTTATGTTTTTATTAAAGTTTCCTATAAATTATTTATATTATTATCTTGATATATATTATTATCTTGATATATTCTTACTAGATCTAAATTAAATTAAAGTTGTAAATTAGTGTTTTTATTTCAATCTTGCAGTATTTATGTTAAATGAATATTTTAAAAAAGAAGAATTAAAAATATAGTAAGCTGGTGTTATTTACATTATTATATGTTTTCCGCATTTTTTTTACATTTGTTTTCATAAAAAACAATGGAAATATGCCATTAATAGTAAGTATTATACCGAACAAATTAAAAAACGGAAAAGATGTAATGGAGGTTTTATGTTTTGGATTTATTCAAATTCAAACTAAAAATGAAATTCGACAGAACTTAGAGATTAGCTACACAAACAATTTCATAATAAAAAATGATTTTTATATTAAAAGGAACAATATTTTATGCAGCCACTAGTAAAATTGATTGTTCAAAAAATTTATGTGGGACTGTGGCCTGCCCTAATATATATATATATATATATATATATATATATATATATATATATATATATATATATATATATATATATATATTAGGGCAGGACTGTGGCCTGCCCTAATATATATATATATATATATATATATATATATATATATATATATATATATATATATATATATATATATATATATATATATATATATATATATATATATATATATATATATATATATACACATATACATATATATACATATATATACACATATATATATATATATATATATATATATACATATATATATACATATATTTGTGTATATATATAATTTGTGTGTGTGTATATATAAAATTTTTTTTAAATGTCTGCCAGTAGCCTGACAGGAAGTTTGTTACTGGCAGACAGTTTGTACTTATATATTTTATATAAGTAACAAACTGTCTGCCAGTAACAAGTTTGTTACTATATTTAAATTAAAGTAGAAAAGCATCTAGAAAAATTCAGTGGATATTTAATTAATATTAAAAACTTATTAAGAAACTTAAACAACTTTATAAAACCGTACTGTACAAAATGTTTAGCATTATGGAAAATGTTACTAATGGTCCATAAAAACGTGTGTTAATTTTAAAATCAATTAATGAAAACTTTTTTTTGGTTGATTTTAAAATTAACGCCATTTTTTACGGACTATTAGTAACATTTTTCATAATGCCACACTTTTTATATGTACATTTTTATAAAGTCATTCAAGTATTTGTAAAAGTTCCTAAAGTTTTTAATAATACTTGAATATCCACTTTATATTTTCAAGATGCTTATCTACTTTTATTAAAGTTTGGAATTACTAATGTTGTTTGAACAAAGAATGAATTTTAAAAGTTATAAGTGGTTTATAAAAGTAACAACACTATTATAGTTTTATTACTTTTATAATGCAGTTAGTGACAAGAGTGTTGTTACTTTTGCAGTCATAAGTTTTTTACTTTATTTTTTATAGCTTCTTCCCTAACAAACTTATAATAATTTGCTCCTTAAAAACAAAGTTCATGGCTTTGCATAAACTAACATTTTTAAAATATCTTTAGTTTCACCCAAGAAAAAATACAAACAAAAATTTTTATGCCGGACTACTAAATATCATAACGGACAACTCAAATAAGAAATAAAAACAGTTGCCCTGCGGAAAAAACCGGAGGGTACACCATTGTGTATATATATATATATATATATATATATATATATATATATATATATATATATATATATATATATATATATATATATATATATATATACACACATATATATATACATATATATACATATATATACATATATATACATATATATACATATATATACATATATATACATATATATACATATATATATATATATATATATATATATATATATATATATATATATATATATATATATATATATATATATATATATATATAAACTATTTAAATATGTTAATTCATTCAATACTATTTAAATATGTTAATTCATTCTGAAATAATGAATAAATTAAAGACCTTATCATGCAATTTATAGGTACAAAAAATAAAAATGCTAAATGTTAAAATTAGATACAAATAAATGTTAAATGCAACTCAATTAAATTTTATTGTCCAAATGAAGCAATTAAAAAAAACATTTAGCATTCCTTTAAGATATAACTGACCTTAAAAATAACTTGGTCAACAAAAAATAACTAATAGCATATTAAACAATTAGAAAGAAACTAAAGTTTAAAAAAAATTTTTCTTACCACATCCCTTACAGCTTTAAACAAATAATTTTCGTTTGAATAGCGGCTATTTATCAAGCAACGAATAATAGGCTCACAGAAGACAACAGGTACCTATAAAAAGAAGCAAAATTTTATAATCAAAATTTTAATATTTATATTTAAAGAAACTAAAACTGATTGTAAAAACTTTTTTTTGAATTATTTTTTTAATACTTATTGTTTAATTTTAATTAAGTTATGATATTAAAATTATTGTTGTTTTTCTGACTATTGTTGAAGTATTTGATTTTAAATAAGATATAAAGCATAAAACACACTTAAGTAAAACTATTTTCTGTGCTTGTGTAATATGTTGCTCTGAACTGTAATATTAAACAAACACAGAAAATAGTTAGTACTTATGTGTTTTATGTCTCAATCACTATTATGTATTTTTTTGCATTTCAATGTCTTTTTAATTAATTTTATATTTAATAAAGTAAATTTAATAAGGTAAAAAGAAAAGTATTTTTATTTGAATAATAAAACATAGAATATTATTAACATATATTATCCATACATTTTAGATTTTTCTAATATGTCAAATAAAAAAAGCAAAATTGTTGACAAATATTCAAGAGTATGGACAAAAAACTTAGTTTTGTTCGAAAAACGTCAAGAATTAATCTACCTTTAATGAAAAACCATTAGACTCATTTAATAGAATGCTAAAAAAAAATTTTATATTTGGACGTTACAACTACCTGGCATCAATTGAAAAAAAGCAGAAAAGAAAGAATAAAGTTATTTGCTGTTGAAATATGTAAATCATGAAATAAACTCAACTTTCCAAGTATTTCTAAGAAACCAATTGGAAGAAAAATTGAAAAGGTTAAAGAAAAACATAAAAAGCCTGGGGAAAAGGAAGAATGCTCTGTTTTTGGAGATGTTTTTGATATCACCAATATTAAAGGCATGTGGCGTAGCCTAGAAAATAAAAAATTCATAAAATACAATCATTAAATTCAGGAGAAGTTGGTCACAGTACTAACAACACATCCTTTTGTTACTAACACACATCCTCAGTACATTCTTCAAAAGTCAGAGTTTGTAATGCACAAGATCCATCTTCGACAAACACAGTGAATAGTTTTTCAGTTAACAGTTCAACTGCATCAGAAGAAAGTGGTTCAGATTTAGATTCACAAGATTTCAAACCAGTGGAAATCAAGAAAGAGAGTATACAATAGAACCAATTTAGCATTAAATCTTGTGATAACTGAATCTTTAAGTACAAATAAATCAGCTAGAATTTGTAAAAAATTATATGAAAAAGGTATAAATAAAAATAGAAACTTAGAAAGTCAGACAGGAATATGGAGATCAACTATAAGGCAAGGGGAAAGAAAGAAGAAAATAGAAACTTAGAAAGTCAGACAGGAATATGGAGATCAACTATAAGGCAAGGGGAAAGAAAGAAGAAAATAGAAACTTAGAAAGTCAGACAGGAATATGGAGATCAACTATAAGGCAAGGGGAAAGAAAGAAAAAAATTATTAATTAAATAGAACAAGAAGAACATTTCTGTCTACAATTTGATGGAAAGAAAATAAACAAGACTGAATTCCAAGTTGTGATACTTCAAAATGAGAATAAAATCAATTTAAGAATTGTTAAATGATAAAGTGGAAAATCCCATGATGTTTTTATAGCTTTGAAAAAATTGCTAAATGATTTTGATGCATGGAAATGTATTACAATGATTATATGTGATGCAACAGCAGTAAACACAGGAGAAGTAAATGGTATAGTTGTAAAAATACAAAATGAAACCAGAGACTTTACTAAACCACAATATTTAGGATGTCAGCATCATGTAATGGATTTAATTTTAAAACATGTTTTGGATCATTTTGTAAATTATAAATCAATAAATCCTGGTTTTGATTATAAACTTGTAAAGGATTTAACCAAAAATTATGAAAATTTTTAAAAAAATTATTATGTAAACCTAGGATAATGAGATGATGTCAAATTCCTTTATGAGTTATCTAAAGCTTTTTGATATTTTCGCAACTAGACAATAAACCAGTTTTTTATCAACTACTCAAAATTTCTCAGGTTGTAGAAGTATGGCCGCAACAGATTTTAAAAATGTCATAACCCTAATTAGCATGTATACTAATTTACATACTTGCTGGTTATAAAACTTTCTTAAAATAGTTTAAAAAATATATTAAAAATTTACAAATTTATCTTATACAATTCCATATTCCAAGTAAAAAATTTATCTTTTTTTTCTAGATCCTTTAAAACCAAAAAATATTTGCTAGACCTAGAAAAATGTTAGTGTTACAATAAGGTTTCAATAACACCTTGTTGGTGTTACAATAAGGTTGCATATTTAATTTTTTCAAAACCTGCATCTTTACAAATACTAGAAACAAAATGCAACCCAAAAGTGAATGTATAAATGTGTAAATGTTTTAACAAGATTTAACAAGGCAATATCTTAATAGGAGGGATAAAGTTACAATAAAAAAAGAAAATAATAAAACAACCTGCTCAATTGTCAGCTTCGGTGAAACTTTAAGCAAAAGGCTAATAGCTAAAAACTTTCTTTCATGTGTTGAAGCCATAAGACCATCTAATATATACAAAATAATCATAATTATCAACTAATATAAAATGATGGGTTTATTTTGCTTTGATAATATATTAAGTGGAGGGTTTATCTTGCTTTAAAAATATAAAAGATAATGAGTTTATCTTGCTTTGATATTATGCAAGATGGAGGATTTATCTTGCTTAGATAATATACAAACTGGATGGGTTTATGTTGCTTAGATAATATGTAAGATGGAGGACTTATCTTGCTTTGGTAATATATAAAATAGAGAGCATATTTTGCTTTGAGGAGTCTAATGTACATTTTATTTACTAAAAGAAATCAAATCCAACCTGCTTTTCAGGTAAGGAAACCAACTAAACAATGAAAGTGTATAATAAATTGCAATGATTTGTTGAGTTGTAGCCACCAGAAGGGGCATTTTTCAATCTGTTAGTAAATATTCCAGTAAAATCTATTACATGTAGTAACACGTCATTGAAACTTGTTATTCAAATTTAAGTAATGTCATAATGTATGTTGTAATATGCTTCATTGTAAAAAGCTTTACCCCAAATGAAAAAAATTTCTGAATAGTATTTTCTTAAAAAATCTAAATGTTTATTTGACAAAAACAAACACATTACTGTTAAAATGTGTAGGAGTTTGAAACCCAGACATCCTAGTACTTTAGAATTAAGAATTCATAATCCAAGTTTAATAATAAATTAAAATGACAAAAACTAATTTACCAAAAAATATAATTTATTAATGTAATATGTAATAAAAATTTTTATTGCACAAAAAATCCAACTAAATCTAATTCAAAATATATATAATTCATATATATATTTAATTTATATATATATATATATATATATATATATATATATATATATATATATATATATATATATATATATATATATATATATATATATATATATATATATATATATATATATATATATACATATATATATAATTTATATATAATATACAAATAAGTAGTAGAAATAATATAAATTTTATTATAACAAATTATAAACCTTCTACAATAATTTTCCAAAATTTTTGAAACTTTGAAATGTCTACTGCAAGAAAATGATCAAGAATAACATCCCAGATTAAATGAACACGTGGGTGTGAAATTTCTGTTGATTCCTAAAAAAATTTAGCAAAAAAATGTTAAAAAATTCATTTGCTCAGAAAACTTATACATAAAAAACATACATGCATGCAGACATACATACATATATACATACATACGCACATACATACATGCATACATACATACATACACACATAGCATACATACATACATACATACATACATACATACATACATACATACATACATATATACATACATACATACATACATACATACATACATACATACATACATACATACATACATACATACATACATACATACATACATACATACATACATACATACATAAAAATTTTAGTATTTGACGTTACGGTAGACTTTTGACAAATGAAACTCTGGAAAAATTTATTTTTATTCATAAATTTTAAACTAATAAATTTATTCATACATTTTTTCATTATTTTTTTATTTATTACTTAACATTTAAAAAATATTAAAAACCTTAAATACTTTATGCTATAAATTGTTATTGTACAATATTTAATATTAATAAATGATGAATATTTATCTCAATCAAGACTGATAAAAAATTGTTTTATATTAATTACCCGTATAAAATTAGTAACATCATTTTTATTTGGTTTGACGATATTTCGCATGAACTTGCTTTGCATGAATTTTGGGAAGTCAAATAAAAGAAAATTAGTTAGAATAATCACGCCGAAATATATTTAAAACAAATTATTTTAATGACAAGGGTTCTAAGGTAAAAAATAAATAACTTAATAAAAAGTTCAACATTAAACATTATTTCTTTATTATATTGCAACTGTAAATATTGAAATACTAATTTGAACGTAAACTTATTATTTAGAACTAAGCAATAAAAATAAAATGCCCCTAAAGTTATGCAACATTGTGTTGTTTTATTTGATTAATGTTGTTGGTAATGTTGTTTATGTTGATTATTTTCATTAATATCAAAATAGTCCCAGATTAATCTGTTAATTGGTTTGCTCATTGTTGATTTATTTCTAATTTAATTTTATCTCTAAGTTTAATTTTATGTTAAGAAAGAAAAGTTTTTATTACATCACATGCTCTTTTTATAAAAGAGTAGAACAAGAGAGAAAGAAAAGTTTTGCGTAAATAAAATTCGAATCAATAAGACTTGCATAGAATATATTTTTTTACATCACTCGTTCTTTTTTGAGATAAGAGAAATAAAAGTTTAATAGTAACTTTTCTTTGAATAAATGAGAATTGGAAGAGAAAATTGCTTGAAAATTTGTATTTGTTAATTGTGTTTTTAAAAATTTTTACCTTTTCATGTCAAGAGACAAATGCCAAATACGACACAAATTGGGAAATACTAAACATAATATGCTTTTTAACGCGCGTCAAACATTTTGACAATTTAAATTACCATCTATCTTGAATTGTTGCCATTAATTAATGTGTTAATTATTGTGTTTTTTAACAATAATTTGTCCGTATTTTTGTTAAATATTAGTTGTATAAAACAGGCAAAAATATACGAACTTCATGTTTTTAATTTAATGGTTATAAAATATCGAACAGTAAACTTGTAATCAAAATTTATAATGCCAACTTGTGTTGCTATTAATTGTACTTTTAATGCAAAACCAGGATCTCACATATCCTTTCACGAATTTTCATATCTGATAATACTGTCAACTGTATTCTTTAGTGTATTTTTGTACTTTTTTTTCATAACCTTAACAGGTTCTAATTGGTACTCGGTGTAGTTAAGGCACTTTTAAAATAATAGAGCGTCTGTATGATATTTTGTTGACTGCAACATTTTTCCGTTAAATGGTCTGGTTTGTGAATTATGAAAAGACGAAAAAACTTAAAATGATAAATTTTGTGGTATCATAAAATAGAAATGTTTGTAGCAAAAAAATCCAGACCGATGATTCTTTTTTTTTTTTTTAAATCATCTTAAAATCACAAACGCTCGTCCAAATTTAAATAAGATTTTATATTACAAGTTTTTTAGGTGAAATGAACATTATAGTTTAACAATATGATCTGTTCTGATCGTTTATTGGCAATTTTCCATAATTATAAGCTCTTTCTTGGTCGGAATTCCAGTATTTTTTGTGAAAATCGATAGAAATATTGTGTTTTGACAACTATATATAGTTAATATACATCAGAACCAATTAGAACTAGGATCAGTAGTAAATTAAGAAACTTTTTCAAAAGATTTTAACTAAATTCATATTAATGCCGATGAGCAGAATTGATCTAAAGACTCGAAATTAGTGTTCTTTAGATACACTATTATGGGTAGTAAAAAGGTTTTGAAAATTATATAAAAAAAAGAAAAGTTTGTTTAAATATTATAAAAACCTTGAGCAAAAAAAATTATAGCATTTAAAGATCTTGTTTGGACATAATATGCTGACAAAATCATGCTAAATCCAAATAAAAATATTCAAATATTTTGTAAATTGCCTTAACTACACCGAGTATGGAGTTGCCAACAGTTTAAAACTTTCATTATCAAAAATCAAATGTAAAATGAAATAATATTTCTATTTTATCCGTATCCAATTCAGCAAATTTAGCAATTTAAATTAAATCAGCATAATGAAAAAAATTTTATAATAAAAAAAAAATTGTTCCTATAAAATAAAAATAATTTATTATTTTTACTTTTTACAAACTTTTTGCAATGTTTGGAATAATAATAAAAATAAATTTGTTTTGCTGTATGTTAAAAAATACTACATCATACTTTTTGAATTAAGTAGAAAATGCAGCTTTGTTTAATTACACTTTTCATTTGTTAAAAGTCTAACTTGACGTCAAATACTAAAAATATTATGAATTAAATGCGCTTTAAAGGAATTGTCAAAGTCTGTAGATTGCAAAATATAATTTAAAGACTCTGAGTTTTTAAACAAAATGGAGAAGGCGAGCATTGGCTAAAACAACAACATTAGTTTTTCTTGGTATGCATTCATTATTAATTTTTATCAAAAAAATTTGGTTCAAACCTTTTTTTTTAACATTATCTTTAATATGAACGCAACATGTGTTGGGAGTTTGGTATCCCTTTAACATTTCATAATTATGTAATACTTATTAAAGCTATATTTTGTTTTAAATGAGCGAGATATTTTTTACTATTTTTGTTTATGTAAGTAAAATACAACTTTTTTTTAGAAAAAATGTATATTTGCATGAGCTATATTTATCCCGGGTAAACTGACTTACACAGTTGCAGAGGCGGGTGCAAGCAAACATGTACAGGCTCACCATTCCTGCCGAGGCCTGTCCATACATACATACATACATACATACATACATACATACATACATACATACATACATACATACATACATACATACATACATACATACATACATACATACACATACTTTATTGCTGACTTAGGTGAACACTGTCCTGATGTATTTGTCACATTTTAACTTTTAAAATAACAACTTTATTCACCACAGCTTTTTAGAAGAAGGAAAAAACAAAGAATGCACATTTTTTGCTGTAATAAAACTCCTATATATCTAGATTTTTCTTAACCTTAATCAATGTAACCAAAGAAAGTTAATCAAACTTATTGAATAAAGCTGATACTGAAAAATATTAAAAAATGAAATTTGTATTACAAAAAATATTCTTACCCTCAAAACTTGTGAAAGAGGCTCTAAATTTTTTGTGTGAAGAAGAGTAGATTTATTCCAGTGTTCTGAAAAGTAGGTATCTGGAAGACTATCCTAAAAATTAACAATTACCGTTATTTTTAATTATTATAAAATAAAAATATTTTGATGAAATATTACACATAAAATTTATTTTCAGTTATATATAAATAACTTACAAAGTTTATTACTATAACTATTTTACACTTTATTTTACATTTTTATTAGCTCGTGTAAACATGACACAAAACTGGAAATATAACAGTAGTAATAGCTGTAAACTTTTAAATATTTAAAGTTCTTTAAATAAATTGAAAAGCTTTATGTAGGCTGCCACAACCAGAATTGTATACGCAAGCTCTTGCTTGTTGCGGCATAATAAATACTAAAACTAAAGAAATATAATTTTTAAAAAATCAAAAAAAACTAAACTTATTTATAAAACAACATTCATTAAATTTTTTAACACTCATATATAAAATTTGTTAATCTTTTATTTGGTTTACTTTTTTGAAACTTCTTATGTGCAAATTATAAAAAACTGAACTTTTTATCAACTTTCTCACCCATGCAGTTATGTCTTATTTTTTTAAACTTGTTACAAAAGTATATATATATATATATATATATATATATATATATATATATATATATATATATATATATATATATATACATATATATATATATATATATATATATATATATATATATATATATATATATATATACATATATATATATACATTATATATATACATATATATATATACATTATATATATACATATATATATATATATATATATATATATATATATATATATATATATATACATATATATACATATATATATATACATATATATATACATATATATATATACATATATATATATATATATAATGTATATATATATATGTATATATATAATGTATATATATATATGTATATATATATATACATATATATATATATATATATATATATATATATATATATATATATATATATATATATATATATATATATATATATATATATATATATATATATATATATATATATATATATATATATATATATATATATATATATGTATATATATACACACATATATATACATATATATACATATATATATATATATATACATACATACAAACTTAACCTTTTTACAAATATTACAAGTATCTAAAAAATTAGCAGAAAAAAAGAAAAGGTTCAAACCAAAATTCTATTTGTAAAAAGTTACACCTAATGTAATCTTTTTAGAAAATATAAATTGTAATTTAAATGCAAACCTGGTATAGAGATTTAACTTTCAATGTAATCATAACATCCTCAACTGTACAAGATTTCCAACCAGACATTAAACTGCTTTTTAGCAAAGGCTTGTAGTTGCTTTCAAAAAATTGAAATTCTGTCTAATAAGATATGTATGAAATAATAAGAAAAAAAAGATGAAAAAAAAAAAAAAAAATGAATTAAAAAAAACAATAATAAGATTATTAAAAATGTAATTAAAAAATAAAATTTTTTAAATGTTTTCTTTATTTGAATTTGGAATTTACAAGTTATAAGTTAATTTATAATTTAAGTTCTGAAGTTAAAAAATTAATTTATAATTTGTATATTAATTATATAACAAATAACAGTTAAGGTTGCTCAGGTAACTGAAAGATAGATATATAACCACTTTCTCAAAGGTAAGTTCCAGCTTGTTGATTTTTTTTAAAAAAATACCTGGTCTGATTAATGGGCTTTTGTAGTTAATATACAACATCAATACAAAAAAGTTATTTCAAATAACTTAAACTTATGTTATAAACATTATATTTGGGCATTCCCTTTTGCAATTAATTTTTATGTAGAAGAATGCCTATATATAAAAACATTTATAAAACATAACAACCGAAAATAACATGATCAATAAGTAAACCTTTTAAAACGTCTAACTTATATTTATTTTTTTTTAAAACAAAACTAATATTAGTACTAAAAATATAAGATATGTAAATTTAAAAATCACACTGAAAAGCAAGTTTTGCTAATAAAATCTTAGAACCGAAATTACCTCTTATTTTTTCATTGTAATTGAAAACCAAATATTTTAATGGAAAGAAAAATAAAACAAAGTAGAAAAACGATAATCTTCGTTTATTTACAATTTTTATTGTGTAAAAAGACTTCAGCTAGGCTAAAATGTTTAATGTAGGATGCCTTTTTATAAAAAGGTAAAACCCAATTTAATGGGGAAAACCAAGAAAGGGAAAACCAAATCTAATCTTATTGTGTAGATATAGGTACATGCATATCAGGCTTTTATGGCACCAATTTTAAAATAAAAAGTAAAAATCTGTGACCTACTTTTTTACAGCACGCTTAGTGTAGGTGTCGTAAGGATGAGTTTTGTTATCTTATTTTTTAGAATCTTACATCAACTTAGACTTTATTTTAAAAGTAGAAGATTTAATGTTTGTTATATGGTTGTTGTTTTTTTTTTCAGCTACTAACATTTTCAATAATTTTATTGGTATTAAAAACTTCGTTCCTGTTGTGTAAGTGTATTGATATTGAAGACATGTTGATTTATTTTTGTAATATGTTCATTTAATTTTTTACATCTATTTTCTACGTACCTACTAAATTTCAAGTAAAAATAATTGTACTCTCATATTTAATTTTTGCACTCCCTGGAGGTAACTAATATTACATTTTTATGGTGGCTCGGGGGGTGCGTGTGTCATGGTAATAAACATTTAGTATTGACTTTCCATTTTAAAAATACGTTGAGTTTTTATATCAATTTCTTTAAAAGTGTTGTGCAATAATAATTTGTTATTTTTGGATTTTGTTTTACTAGTATTAATACCAATTTTTATCTAATTTATAAAGTTACCTTACGATATAAATTAAGTGAAATTGGTATAGGTCATTTAATGATAATATCTATATTTAAAATACTAATAGAAAAAGTTTATAAACCAGTTAAGTGGAGATTATTAATAATATACTTTTAATGTACGTACATTTAAAGAATATTATTAAAACTAGCAGTAAGCAACCCGTAATACGGGTTGTTAGTAAATAAAATTAAAAAAAAAACGCGTATAGAAAAGTCTAGAAACTACTTTAAAACAGAAAAGCCTAGAAAATGACATAAGTCGACTATTACTATTATTAAATTAGCGTATTAATATTATCAGATGTCAACTTAATTGGTACATGTTTTTCATGAACCTATTACCAGATAAGTTACTTTATGGACTTATTAAGTAGAAATTATCAACAACATATTTTAAATGTATTTTATTAGATATTTCAAGTAGTTATTTTTTTCTTATGTACATTCAAGCAATTTTTTTAATATAGCTAGTGGTTGTGATTAGTAGCAGACCTAAGTGAACAATTACAGTTATTTTATATAGTGAATCATGGGCCCTAAAAAGAGTAGACGTTTATTTTATGGTGAAGCCAAAAGTTATTTAGCTTGTAACTTTGCATTGCCTGCTCAATTAAACATTGAATGTAAGAATAGACATGTACTGTATATTTATTCACAGCTAACAGTGAATCGTTTAAAAAAACTGAAGAACTAGTCAATAAGCTTTTTAAACTTAAAATTTGTCAAAATCAGATTGGGCATCTAGTGAATACATCCAAGCTATATACACCCAATTTTTTTGAAAAATTCAAATCTTTTGATTGATATATAGAACAAAGTTTTTGCAGACCAGATAACAACATTAGAAATTATGAAAAAGAGATTAACCAATTTGGCAAATGAAATAACTTCTACGAAAAGAAAGCTTAGAGAGGATTTAAAAGTGTTAAGAGATAAAATACAAGGTCATGCAGAATTAAATATTTAAATCAGGTTATTACTCGCAAGGAGAAAACTATACATCAGCTTCGGAAAAAATTAAAGGAAAAATATTTAAATTTACAGTTAAAGAAACTTCAAAACAAAATTTTTTGTTTGAATCAACATCTAACATTCACAGAAAACAAGTTTTCTTATCAAAAAGCCATGTTATGCCAACAACTTGCTGACAAAAATGCTGTAATTCTTGCACTGCAAAATGAAATACTGGTTTTACAAATTGGAGGTGGAGCAACTGCATCACATAAAAACAACTACTAAAAATGAAAAAATGGTATTAAAGATACAGTCTTTGATTCAATAATCAACTTTTGGCCAGTAACTGATGAAATAAGTTAAATATTAGCTGGCTGTCGTAATGCTGTTGTTAGTGTTATTGACAGACAGTACAAGCGACAATTCAACATAAATTCTAATGATCAACTTATGAACCAGATTAAATCAGGCTTCATAACATTGATTCAGAGGAACTTATGAGCATGTTTAGCACTGCAAAGCAGAAAGCTCCCAATGCCATGATAAAAAAATTTATAATTCTTTCATTCATTATTTGTTTACATCAGATCTAATTTCAGGTAGTCGGGTTTGTTACCGACATCTAACAACCAGGGTTGACTTGGTTGCAACAAGCTATGGGAAACCAAAGCTCATTTACTATTTGACTTATGCCAATTACCTACCTCCTGAAATACTGTTTCTACTCAGAATAATAGACCTTTCCTGCATGGATGCTGAGATGTTGGTGTTAAGTAATTTAAATCAATCACTATACCCTGAAATCATTATTTTATTTTTCATTATTGTTTTTATATCACATCTATTCTATTTCAGGTAACAAACATTCAAAGATTCATTTGGTATGATTGGCGCTTCTATTCTAGGGCACAATGTGTTAAACATCATTAAGTTATTTTAATTTGTTTTTAACTTAAACTTCCTTTTCCATTAATTTTATTGATTTTGATCAGTAATTTTAAAAATCTAACACATTTTATCTATCATTGCAAGGTTTTAACTCACAGCATGAAAGCTGAAAAATAGATTTTTGCTTCAACGAATGCTAATCTTTAAAACAAGTTGAAAAAAACGAATGCAAAAATGAATCTTTAACAAGTAAACATTAAAGCGGTAAGATTATACTTATATAATAGATTATGCAATAATAAAAGATTATGCAATAATAACAGTTACATATTTATTTTCCAGGACATATGGTTTCTCTATTTAAAATGATTGTGTTATGGCAACATGTGTTTGTTCATAGATCCACTTTTTTTTAGATTTCATTGCACTGTGTTAACTCTGTTTCAGAAGAATCGACTTTTTCTAACTTTGGGTGTTCTTCAAAACTAGGCTATTTTTATAGCCACTAATATGTTAAAAACATTACTAAGCAAATGGGAATACAATCATTTAGTTCAAATTATTCATTTACAAATTATATTTAAAAAAAGTAACCTTTTGTTTTTTGACAGGATGTGAGTCTTAAGATCGATTTGAATCAAGGCGGTATACAAAGGATACACTAAAACGCTTTTCCTAATGTCTATATATCTTTCTGAATACTAACATTAAATGTTACCGCCTGTTATTGTATGATAAAATAATTTAAAATGTTTTATTAAAGTACTTCTATTATTGGCTCTGGAAAAAATTGTATGACTTGCGTAATAATAATTGCACGTTGCAGGGGCGGATCCAGTATTTTTAGGTGCTTGAGTTAAATAACTTTCAGGTAAATTCTAAACTCAGAACTTTTTTATGCTCATATTTATGTCATTTAAAAATGCTTTGCCAAAAATTGCATTGATTAGAGCCTGGAACAAAAATACCCTAAATAATAGACATCACTCTCCCTAATGAGAGGGCAAATGATTTTTCAAAAAAAAAAAAAAGTTATTTCCTTTAATAAAATTCAAATGTGTATCTATATTTAAAGTTTGATCAAAAAATCATCTAGCATTCAAAAGTTATAGCCATTTAAAGTTTAGAACCCCCTCAAAACGAGGGGATTGTAAATTGAAACTGGGCATAATTTCTAAACACATATTTACAAAAAAAAATTCAGAACCTTAATAATATTACCACTTATTTTAGGATATTAGAATTTATATTTAGAAAAACTGATTCCCCCCACATTTGGGCAAGTGATGCCTACTTTTTAGGGTTTTTTTGATCCCTGGCTCAATCAGCGCAAATCTGGCTCTAATCTTTCGGCAAATCATTCTTAAATGAATAAAGTATAAAAATACAAAAATTTGGAGTTTAGAACTTACCTAGAAGTTATATAACTCAAATACAGAAAAATCCTGGATCCACCCCTGCGTTGATTGAAAACAAACCTAGTATTCCCCAAAAACTGTTGCTATTACTCTAGTCATGTGGTTTTCCGACTGGATCCGGATCTGGACTGAATTATGGATCTGGACCGAATTTGGACTGGATTATGGATCAAATTGGAAAACCATGTGACTAGAGTAATAGCAATAGTTTTCGGGGAATGCAAGGTTTGATAAATAAAAAATTTAAGAGAGTCTCTATATTTATATTTTTCGGATTGATAATGTTAATAAAGTTCTTATTATTAATAAACATAAATATAAATATTAAAAAAAAAAAAAAAATACTGAGAAATAAAACAAACTAACTCTGTTGATAATAACTTATTAGTCATTATCAATAGAGACTATTAAATTTTTTAATTGTCTTTATATTTAAGTACACTTTTTAGTTTATCAAAAGTTATATACTTATATAATAACACAGCAAGTAGTTTAATATAACGCCTTTTAATATAAAAATCTATATTTATAAAATAATGTTTATAAAAAATACGGCGTATATATGCACAAAATTTTGTAATATATATAATAATTTATATGTTTTTGTTTCAGCATTTGGGAATCCGTTTAAATAGGACATGAAAAAAATATAAAAAGCATGTACTCAAATAATTGTTGTAAACTTTATTAAATTAAACTTAGTCATTTGTAAATTCATAAAATTTA